TGACTGATTATGAAGCATACTGCCTCGTTAGAACCACAGGGTCAAGATTTAGATTCTGGTCCTGAATGCTCTGGATTTGTTTGGACCAGAGAAGGTAGGCGCTTTTAAGGAACCCCACACGGCCGTTTTGTACGCCCCTCGGTTTGCCAGATACGAGAGCAGTTATCAGGTCAACAGGTGTTGCAGTGATGGAAGCGGTCAAGAGAAGTGGTTCAGATAGAAGTGATTGTACCCGACCTAAAAAGCCTCTGCATGTTTCTAATAAGCTCCACGAGCAGAAACGTGCTCAAACTAGGATCAATATTGGAGATGCTTTTGAAAAATGGAGAGAGGTTAGAACACAGAAAGGTTTACAGACCCATGCAGAGCTGGATAAACACTGAAGCTTCAGAGTCCACCACATGGTGACCTGTGTGAGCATCCACTCTAGAGAGGAGGGGGGGGAGACAGCTCTCTATGATGTTTAGAATTTAAACTGCAGTACCTATTTTAAACACCAGGAGTCAGAGTTCCATACTGCTCGCCTGCAGTTGTATTGCTGCAGCGTATTTCACTCATTCTAAACGCAGCTTGTCCAATATCATCTTTCATGTTCAGTGAAGCCTTTAATGCTGTCAGCATGTAAAGCAGTCAGGCACTCCGTCCAGTTTCACTAAATCTGCTGTCAGACGTTTATCCCGCACATCCTGTCACTTTAATCTGTCAAGTTACCGACCAATCATCTTCACTGTCAATCACTTCCTGCAGCTTGTGGGCGACATTTGTCTTTCCCTTTTCTTCCACCCTATTCTCCGGATTGTGTTTTTGTCCGTCTCATCTCGATGAAAGCTTCATTGTTGAACGTGAGAACACAAACAAAGAGCTTTAAGAGAAATACTGTCACAAACTGAAGCCTCAAGGATTGAATCACGAGTCTATGGCGGAGCAAAACTTCTTAAAAGGTTTTAAAAGTTTGAACACAAAAGAAAGAGAGGTCAGGCAGAAACTTTGAAATGTGAGCGGGCTTTTATGGAGAGGAGTGATAGAGACTGCTTTTTATTCTGCCTTTCTTTGTGGTATTTTTTAAACAGTTATGAAGTCAAAGATCAGGGGCGTTATCCTTCAGACGCTGAAGATGTGAACATTTCGGCAAAGTTGAACCTTGAGCTGCCCCGCTGATATACTACTTTTATTATCTCAAAATGTACTATTTTTTTCGACTCATAATTCAAATTGTTATGAAATTTCAAAGGTTCAAATCTGCACTGGGTTAGGTAATCCTAACTGTGTGTTTTGCTTTGAAAAGGCTCGATGATAATGTTCATACATCACAAAGAGATGAACTTATCAGGGGAAATAAAAACACGGGAGTGAAAATGAGCTGAGGAGGGATAAAGCCGAGGACAATAATGACTAAACGAAGAGAAACTGCAGGGGAGAGAGAACACGCTGAATTATCAGAAGCTGTTTAAACGTTCCTGCAGAGTCTCCGCCGAGAACAGCCAGAGACAATAAAGAGAAATGTTTTCACTTCATTATGTCTCTTTGGAATTCGTTTTGTACATGTTGTGACAGTCATGCAATTATATTCTAAATTACAGTCATTTGTCAAAGTCATGCGGCGTTGTTTTCAAACTTAGGCTGAATAAAAGAAGTTGGATTTAACCCTGACAGTAATAAGTATATTACAGATCAAATAAAGACAAGTAGGATAAATGTCTCTCAAATCCTTTTCTTGAAGGTCACATGATACAGAACACACTTCACCATGTTCCTCTAACTCAAATATGTGTCTCTAGTCCGTCTACAAACCCCCCAATGATGAGAAAAGTTCATCCTCTCCATCTTCTGCCTGCTCCACTTTTCAGAAAATGTGTGCTCAAACAGGCTGTTTGGAGATTTTCCCTTCATGACATCACAAAGGGCAGTAGCCCCTCCCCCAGGTGGGTGACACTCCCACAGCTGCCCCCGGATTCTGCCTTCTCACCGTAAACAATAGGGCATGGAGCGAGAGAGAAAAATGTAAACAACACAACAATGACCCCTTTAACCTCAGACGTCTGACAGACGAGGAATCTAGATGAAGAGTCCTGAAGAGTAAACTAAAAGAGACCTGAGGCCTAATGAAAGATAAGCCTGAACATTTTAACAACATAAATGAGTCAGAGATGACGCCCCAAACATTTAGGGACTGACCTCGAGAACTCCAGTCCGGCTTTAGTCACAAATTCAATAAAGCAGGTTGAGATTTCTAGCTGGAAACTGTTGAAATATTTTCTTGAACTTTCACTCCCTCACAGTGAGTAAGCATTGCCAGACTTCAAAGAAGGATGACTATGAACTGGGCCAAGTCAGACTTATTGCACTAATTACTGTAGCGTGCATGTGCACACTCACTGAGGGCTGCTGCAGCCCGAGTCCTACATTTTAGTCACTCCTCCTCTGTCCCGATGTGGAAGAACATGATGTCACCGTTTCCTTTCCTCCCTCTCTCAAGCAGTAGGTGCTTGACTGAGTCTTGACGAGCTGCTGAGCCTCACTAAGCCGACGCGGTGACATTATAAGCAGACAGGAACCCGGCCCGAGTGCTGCTGAGCCACCAGAGATATTTTGGCACTTTGGCCGACTAGGAGACGTTTCACTCCTCAGACAGGCCTTGTACAAAATCCTGGTTAGTCCTGTCCTGAAAATGTAAAAGTATGACCTGATATTCCCTCATCATTTACACAAAGGACAGAGTAACTACCAGCAGACATTAATCTAACCGATTCGGCTACGAGGGTACAAAAACCATCTAATGAATCATTGTTAAATATGAGAAAGACAACCGAACACACTGAATCTTTCAGCTAATAAGATTCTTTTTTAGCCTTTCTGTCTAAATCTGTCAGACTAAACCTCCAGCTCCAGCATTAGGGATGGAAGAACAGCACTAAATGAAGAATTCTCCTCCCACCATGGCCGACTTTTCATCCACAAGCTCATTATATCTTTTCCTTAATTCCCTTTTCTGCATGCCTTCTCCCCTCTCCGTCTGCGATTTCCTCCCATCCAGATGTTGCGCACTCCCTCTACCTGTTCTCCGTCCTCTCTCTCTCTCTCCTCCTCTGAACATGCATGTTGTTAAATCGTACAGCTGTTAAACAGGTGCGGTTTCCAGGACAGACACATTGACAGTGTGAGGCACGGGTGGAGCAGCAGTTTTAAAAGTGCAGGTATTCTAATGCTAGTATATTACCACCCTCTATCAAATCAGATATGACTCATAGATTGTTTTTCTATTTTAATCCTAAAGGTTGTGTTTTCTAAATTGTACTGTGTCTCTCTTTTTAGTTCCGTCTGTAACTGAAAAAGAGGTTTTTAATCTCAATGGGACCAACCTGGTTAAATAAAAAAATAATAAATAAAAAAATAATAAATAAAAAAATAATAAATAAAAAATAAAAAATAAAAAAAAATAATAATAAATAAAAAAGTAATAAATAAATAAATAAATAAACACATTCTGTTTCATTTAAAGTCCAATAATTAATGTTAGCTGACACATCACACAACAAGACAAAGTTAAAAAAGATAATGAGACACTAACTTTATGAACATCCATTGTGAGTAACCCAGTTAGCTCTAAAAACCAGATTCAAAACTGATCTTTGTGATGCTTTTTTTTTTGCTCTCCTCGGCGTCTTTATTTCCGGTCTTCAAATATAATGTGCTTTTATTTTGAAAAATTCAAAGGGGACTTCCGCTACATCGTGACGTTACAGTTAAAATAACAACCAAGAGGAGAAAATGTTACACTTAGGTTATTTTGTGAGATGGATTTATCTTAAAAACATAATTTTGCCTAACAGTTGCGTAATTTAAACACATTAAGAAGATTATTTTCAGCTAACTTACAGAATCAAAGCAGCTCTCTTCTTCTTCTTCCTCGTCGTCGTAATTAGCCGCCATGTTTGTTCGTCCTCGACAACTTTCCTTTTTTTTTTTTTCACTTCTAACCGACAACAAAATGTAAAACTCCTTAACAGCCGACGGATAACCACGAGTTTAACGTATTTTACTAAACTTTTAAGACATTTCTAGCCTAAAAACTACAACAGTAACAGGATTTACTTTGTCCGTCCAAAGCGAAGTTCACGTGCTCAACGTTTTGCGTCATCAGAACGTCATCACGCAAATTAAAAAAAAAAAAAAAAAAAAAAAAAAAAAAAATATATATATATATATATATATATATATATATATTATTATTTTTTTTATGAATGTATAATTTCAGACAAATCACTGCCTTTATATATTTATATAAAAAAAAATTATAAACTAATTTATAAACCAAAAATGACTGGCTGGAAGGGTTCTTCATTGTATATATTATTATTATATTAGTCTATATTATATAACATTTCATTATATTACACTATATTGTTCATATTGCACTATATTATATTATATAACTGCACTCTGCATCACTGTGGTACAACACTGCCTCTCTTCTCTGTTTGTTTACATTACTTTCTGCTATTTATCAAACCAAGTCACTTTAATCACTTGTCACTTTATCTTGTCATTCTCTGCAAATACTGTCTCAACTCCCTGCATAGTTAACTTCATCATTCATTTTGTACTTGTATATACCCCCTGTTTTTATTTCTATTTATCTTATCTATTCTGTTTAATGTGTATTTTGTATTTTGAGCTACTTGTCTGTGCTGCTGCAACGCCCGAATTTCCCCCCTGGTGATCAATAAAAAGTATTTTATTGAAAAAGTATAAAAGTTTTATCCTTTCCTATCCTATCTTGGGGGAATTCAGCCGTTTAGATAATTTCAGTTGAACTGAAAAGTTAGGCTAAGAGCATTTCTGGCATGGAGACCGCCATCGATGGGACTCCAGCAGGAACAGATGGGGGACGACACTCAGGCTTCAAACATTCTTATTTAGAGGCTATGAGTAAAACAAACCGTTTTAAGGCATCTTGCTGTGACCCCACCCCACTTTACAGACTCCAAGAACAATTTAAATTAGATTCATGCATTAAAAGTTTATTTTCAAAGATAACAAAGCATCTCAACGTTTTATTCCTTAATCTCAACGTGACAAACTGTACAAAGACAACTCATTTCAATTCATTCATCATCTTTCACCTGACAAAGATCAGTCATCTTAACGTCTTTTGTCCTTGAGCTGGTCCTTCAAAAAGGCCTCCCCTCTTTTAGTTTCACTCAGAATTGTTACATCATCGTGGTGTTTATTGTTTGAGCTGTTTGAGCTTGAAGGTTGTAGTAAATTCTGACGAATGCTCTGGGGATAAACCTTTAATATCTTTTGAATATGGAAATAAAAACTTGAGAATAAAAAAAACTTTAAATTCACAAACCTACGGCAGCAAATGTAAAGTATCGTTGACCCAGGCCCATATCAACCCTGAATCTGAACTTATCGTTTGTGTAATACGTCGGAACTCAGCGATACTTTTGTAAATCTTATTTAAACAGTTTGGGTGTTTAGCTTTAAATCACGACATCCCCTTTATCTGCCTGTTTTCTTTATTGGGTACACATCATATTTTGTACATTATGATTTCTTTCTTATATTTTTTTCTATATATAAAATGTTTAAATATTTCTTACTTATATCTTAAAGCTTAAAAGTTGTTCTTTATATTTATATTCTGTGAAGTATTTCTGATTCTGATCGACGACAAAGAGTTTAAAAGTGAAATGATATTTCATTTTGTCATTTTGTCGCATGCAAATGGTTTAAAAAAAGCAGCAACGCAAGACACTAACACACCTGATTATTAACTTAAAGTGATCACAAGCGAACGCAAGGTATCCAAATTATTCTTCTGCGGTGTTCCTCAGGGTGTCTTACCTCTGAGGCCTCGTGTCCACCTCGTGTTTTTTCTGCTTTCATTTGAAAATGAAAAAAACCGGATCAAGATTTCCAAAACCCCGTCGAGTTATCGTTCCCTTTCGAGATGCCGTACACCTAAATGGAAATGTTCCGGCTGCAGGTTTTTCCTCAAGCTCCCAAAAGGTCAGTCGTTTTTTGTTTTTTTTTAAAACTACTTTAAAGTTCACCTGCATCAAGTTTTGTGGTTCTTTGAAATGAATGATCCATTAAGCAAGACTGGGCTCCATGGCGGCATGCAGTTATTATGATGTGCATTGATATGATGTTTAAGGTTTGATGGCCTGCTGTGACGCTCAGCTGGAAGTCCTCTGCTCTTATCTTGAAATGAAAGTGAAAGCTTGTTATAAAGTTTTCTATACAGTCTCATATGAGGAAGTTGTAGACATGGCTGCAGAAACACAACACATGCCTTTAAGAAGAAGTAGAGACACCGGTTTCTACGGTTACGTTAAGGTTAGACGTAAACGTTTTTGCACTAATAAGAGAGAATTCTCCGATGTTGATTTCTCCCCTCTTTAGAGAGAATCTTTCAGCCTCAATCTGTCACCATTTTCTCGTCTTCAGCGCCATCATCCCACGATCACTCACTTGTCAAAATATTATTTTCTCTCTTCCCTCCTCACAGCTCTGATTTTGCCCGTTTCAACCCGTTGCCATCCCTCCCCCCCTTGCTTTCCTCCCTCTCTTTGTGACTGTATTTCGACACTGGCACGAGAGCAGTTTCTCGGATTGTCTTTTGAAATGTGGCGTTGTACAGGACATGACGAGCTGTTAACACAGCGAGGAGCCGTTAGCCCACACAGTGTCAGGGACACAGGACTGTTAGAAGGTTCAGAACAACACCGCTATTATACATCATGTCTTTACGAGGATGAAAGCCAGCCAGACAAACACACTCTCATCCCGACTTTGCCAACGGTCATACAATATGAGACAGAAGAGTACAATAAGTGACTTCATACCCCGGGCTGTCAGACAACAAGCTATTGTCTTTGAATAAACACCTTTCTGGGTGGAATTGATTGCATTTTGTTTGCAAATTTTGGGGTTGGTCCAAGTTCTGTCTGCCTTTGGAGAATAATCAAGCTTTCACAGATCAACAGGTGTTTCCTTCTATCCATCTGGTATCTCATTTATAGATCCATTTCTGAAAACAAATCCAAAAGTTGGTTCACTTGATCGGGACGTCCAACTGGTGTTAACTGCTGTAGGTGAATTAATTACGAGCCCCATCAAGTATCCATAAATGGTTAACCACTTCCTAGCCCATGTTTACTGTATGTTTCTAATATGCCAATGTGGGCCCCAAAAGGAGCCACTCTGAGCCCAGTTGCAGCCCACCTAACCCGGGTAAGCCCAAGTGGGTGCCAGTCTGGCCGTGATCTGTTATAATGACCACGCCTTCCAATCGACCATCCAACCATGACGCCTGAGCTCAAAAAACCAATGCCAATACGTGCATCGATGTGGATTTTATAGAATCCAGTTGGGTGCAATTGCTGTGAGGGCAGTTTTGAAAGACACATTGGCCATGGCGCAGTTCACAATAAAGCCAATAGGCGGCAGTAAAAGCCAAACTACGTGATGCAAGGCACGTTCCAAATCGAAATTAAAAACACTGAAGAGAAACTCCCCCATCGCCAGAAAACTAATTAAAGGAACATTTTGGATTTCTGCAAACAGCAGGAAGACGTGAGTTGGGATTGGACACGAGTCGTGGAATGTGCGAGCTTTGGAAAAACAAGTTAAGCTGCCGCAGCAACAAGACCAGACTCCGTCTACACATGACAAGTCGCTAACAACAACAGCTGGATTGAGCTGATACACCCGTCCAGTGAACCATCCAATCATCCATTGGCCACCAATATTCATCCATTTATCTATCAAATAAGACGACCTCTTAAGCCTTGCATGCTGCAGTGTTGTCACCCTGTTTTAGATGTTGCCATCAGCTCTGTCACCCCATCAATCCATACCTTCACATATCTGTTGATTCCCTTCATTTCTCCTTTATCTACTATTTACTACCAACCTCAGTTTCCATTAATCCCATTTCAAACCCCTTTAGGTATTTCCCCCCCCATTCCTGTGAAGCCATGTTTCCGCTCAGTTTGTGATTTTATTTATTTTTTCAGTTTTAGGGCAGGTTAAGGAATCCCTGGTTCACATTTCTGAGTGTATCTGTACCGACAGGGCGTTCATTTGTTTCAGATGTCTCTTCTCTTTACAAAGGAATCCTTCGACTTGATTTATCTGTCATCCGTTTTTCTTCAACCGGCTCCTTTTCTCTTCCTCCGTCCCCCATGTTGTGTAGTGGTGGTTCGCCCCGTCCCCTTCCTCCCACCCTCGTTCCTCTTCCTCCTCCTCCTCCATCTCATCTGGTTCCTATGTTCTTATACTGGCACAGCAGCAGGTTCTTGAATGTCTTTTTGAACGTGGCGTTGCACAGTGCGTAGCAGGCAGGGTTGATGGTAGAGTTGACGTAACACAGCCAGTATCCGATGGCCCACACGGTGTCGGGGACGCAGGACTGGCAGAAGGTGGAGATCAGCACCATGACGTTGTACGGCGTCCAGGTGATGATGAAGGCCAGCAGGATGGCGAAGATTGTCTTGGTCACCTGTAGAGAAGCAAAAAAAGAGAGGAAGAGTGAACAGAACAAAAGAAAATTGATGCGCTGATAATCTTCTACTCTCCCGCTGGACGTAGATCGTTAAATTATTTTCACTGTGGTATAAAAATCTATTTGCTGCGAGTATATCCTGCAGACCAAAACATGTTATTGATGCAACATGTTGTGTACGAGCAGATTGATGGGAAAAGACAGAAGCAAACACAATGTTCACTCTTACCATTGTTTCAGACGTTTTCAGGCTGATTCTGACATCAACCACAAAAAAAAACGCAGAGCCTACAAAGGGATTAAGAAACCTTAAAGGAAATGAGAACATGCATCCTAACACCCTCTCAAAAGTATCCGTATTCACTGGAATAACTGGGACACAAGAAGCACGCGAACTGGATCGATGTGGAAATCCCTCAGGATCTGTTAAACCTGAGCCGGGAAACACAGGACCCAAACTTTAAGATGAATTCCTTAATTCTACTTTTGCAAACAAAAAACCCTTCAAACTTCACATTTCCTCCCTCGCTGAGGATGTTTTTGGATGTTGAGTCCGCCTTGTTGTGAATTTTGAAGAGTGACGGACCCAAATTAGACTCATGTCTGTCATGTTAAAAAGCTCAGAGGAACGTTTCCAAATACCATCTGTCACTCTCAACGATAATTAAGTGAAGTGACTGCAGCACAAAAGCCACTCATCTCTGAAAAAACAGCTGCTGCGTATCGTTCACACGCTGCTGGAACTGAGTGATCCCACCTGCACGCCAGCAACATATGCTGCCACGCAAAAACAATCATTTAATGTACACCAAAAACTAAATTACAAACTTTAAATGGTGATAAAAAACCAGGATAAATCATCATTTCACCCCCGTATTTCAAGAGCCTTTGTGCTCCTCCACGGCTAAACAAACAGCTTTTATTTCAAGGCATGTAGCAGCGTGTGTGTGTGTGTGTGTGTGTCTGTGTGTGTGTGTGTGCAGTGTTACATAACATACTTTCTTCTCTCTGGCAGCCATTTGTCTTTTCCTCTTCACTTGGCTCCTGGCGATGCTCGCAAACTTCCTCGCCACAGTCCGAGGGCGGCTGATGGGGATGGAATGGCGCTCGGTGCCGTCCACAGGCGGTACGATCTCTATGGCGGTGATGCACTCGTCCCCGCTGTGCTTGGTTACGATCTTTATCTTTGACCACCTCGAGCCGGGGCCCATCTTCGCGTCAGCAGAGATGGAGGCTGAGGATGGATCCGGGTTTGGATTTATCGCCGCCTGAAATGAAAGCCAGAGCGTTTTAGAAGTTGAACTTTTACCGCCACTTTGACCAGTTGAAGGCCGAGAGCGGACCGTTATTTAACAAATGTATTTCAGTGAAGTCGGTAATTGTGACCACATCGACAGAGCCAGGATTCTTCCCCAGAAAGAGAGAGGATTTTTGAGCACAGTTTTTGCAAAAACGCTTCAGATTTTTAAACATCAGCGCCGAATACTTCAACGACGGATAAACAACACAGAACAACTTCTTTATCATGAACTCTGACCTCAGAGATGACCTCGTTGTTCGGGTTCTCCTTTGGTTCTGTGGGGGCGATGAAAGCTGTGGACGAATCGTTGGAGCTCTCCTTCTCCTCCTGGATCGATAAACAGATTTAACATGAAGAAACGATATGATAACAAACAGCTGCTGTCTCTGGATGATTCAGTACCTGTGTGAGTCCAGGACTGGGCTGAGCAGGCGCCTGGTTCTGCTCCGGTTTGGGTTCCTCCACTCGGCCGTTCTTCACGGCGTCGAGCGCGGTGGTGGTGGAGTCCAGGCTGAGCTTGGGGGTGGAGCGAGGGCTGGCCTGAGGACTGGTCTCGTTGTTGTTGTTCTGCTTCAACAGGTGACTCTTAAGCAGACTGGGAGTTCTGGGGAAAAAAAACCTACCGTCGTTATCATTATTTTTGGACTTTTTGCCTTTATTAGAGAGAGAAGAGGGGATGACATGCAGCGAAGGGTCGAGGTCGGATTTGAACCCACAGCGATTAATGACTAACAAGTGTGAGTCAAATAATAACCCCATTATTTTCTCATATTTATAGTTATGTCTGAAGTTTTCTGTCAATTTATTTATGACATTTTCTTCTTCTGTTGTTGATTTTGGGGTCTTACTTCTCTGGTTTCTTTTGATTATAGTCGCTTAATTAATCTTGTTATCATAAATCTGTATTGAGGCAATTTTTAAAAAAAATCAGCATCGACTTTTAAGTCACAATCCTGTGTTATACATAAATAAATTTAACTTTATGAATCATTTATTGCTCACATTATGGAAATGAATTGTGCTGCAAATTGAGTACATGTATAATTCATGTTAATAGTCTGGGTGACATGCTATTTAAAGACCCTGTTACTAAAGGAGCAATATGTAACTCTGACACCTAGTGGTTAAAATATGTATGTCAAAATTCTAAACATCATAGAGAGCTGTCTCCCCCCCCCCTCCTCTCTAGACTCGATGCTCACTCAGGTCACCATGTGGTGGACTCTGAAGCTTCAGTGTTTATCCAGCTCTGCATGGGTCTGTAAACCTTTCTGTGTTCTAACCTCTCTCCATTTTTCAAAAGCATCTCCAATATTGATCCTAGTTTGAGCACGTTTCTGCTCGTGGAGCTTATTAGAAACATGCAGAGGCTTTTTAGGTCGGGTACAATCACTTCTATCTGAACCACTTCTCTTGACCGCTTCCATCGCTGCAACACCTGTTGACCTGATAACTGCTCTCATATCTGACAAACTGAGGGGCGTCCAAAACGGCTGTGTGGGGGGGGTGTCTTAAAAGCGCCTACCTTCTCTGGTCCAAACAAATCCAGAGCATTCAGGAGCAGAATCTAAAGTTAGAAGGAGGACATACTGGCTGCTGCATTGTTGTCAGAGAAGCCAGCACTTCAACATAGCATGTTTCCTTAATGATCAGAGAGTAAGGTCTCTTTATCATTTCACTCTCTACACATTTCACTGACATTGCAAAATATTTATCTGTCATTTTTCACAAGACAGACAGCAGAGAAGTCTAATATTCTGTAGAAGAGCTTTAAGGAAGTTTAATATTTTCTGCTGTCATGAAACTGGGTCATCTCTGTAATCCTTCATAACGAACCAAATTCAGGCTTCGCACGGCTGTTGTTCCCTGTCAGGGACATTTTCTGTTTTTAACATTTAGGAGGCCGTAAGAAGAGACATGACTGAATCATAATGACGAGAATAAAAAAAGACATCTTAAATTATTAAGTTGGGTCGTTCTTATTCTTTTCTAAAATGTCTTAATCTATAAGTCTGAGTCCTGTGCTGCTCTTACTTGATGCCCTTCTTCTTCTCCTTCTCCGGTTTGTGTTTGGAGACTCTGCTCCTGGAGGCCAGGGAGATGTGGATGTACAGGACGGTCATGATGATGACGGGAAGGTAAAACGCAGCGATGGCCGTCCCGAATGTCACCGCGGGGTTAGAGAGGAACTGGAGAAAGAAGCAGAGAGACAGACGCTTTGACATCATCCACAGAGACGGTTTACAGAAATATGATTCTCAGTTCAAGGATTTTTTTTGTGTGCAGTCGGATGCAAAACACCTGACATCAAACCTGTGTTTGTAAAGTTTGTATTTTTTTATTCTTTATTGTTTAGCCGAGTTTGGTAGTGTTGTTGTGTTGCACAACGTTATACTACGGAAGCCCAAAGTGGACATGCATGCATACATTTGATTTACTGTTTCCTCGTGATGGGAGAGTGATTTTATGGTTGTTTTCTCGAGATCTGAACTTACTTCTCTCATGAGATAACAAGTCTTGCTTCCTCGTGATAACAAGATCTCATTCTCCTGATCTGGAAACAACTGTGATAGGTCAGGCCTCGACATGCCATGCTCTCATTGGCCGACTAATGAGGTTAAGCCAAGACTATTTCTACGGGTCTGTGCTTTTTCTCCTCTGAGGTCATGAGATAAACAATTGGATTTTTATCAGGAAGTTTTCCTGCCAGCTCCCGGGTGACATTTCTGCAAGAAGTCGGGGGGAGCCGATGTGTGAACGCTGCAGGAAATATTCAGGAAAAATCCCCACGAGCGAGCAGGCGGCGGCGTTTACATTTACATCCTCCGACCCGTGCGACTTTCATGCGCGTGATAAAGCTGCTTCACACTCTCCACAGATTACACAGAATCAGGAAAGTAAAAGAGACGATACTGTACCTGAATGTAACACTCTCCAGGTGGCACCGTCCGCTCCCCAACGATGAACTGCCAGAACAAGATGGCGGGCGCCCACAGGATGAAGGACAGGATCCACGCAGCTGCGATCATCAAACCCGCCATCTTCGTCGTCCTCCTCGCCGGGTACGTCAGCGGTTTTGTGACGCAGAAATACCGATCGAAGCTGATGATCAATAAATTCATAACCGAGGCGTTGGAGACCACGTAATCCAGCGCTAACCACAGGTCGCAGACCACGGGGCCGAGCGGCCAGTACCCCACGATGATGTAGACGGTGTACAGGTTCATGCTGAAAGCGCCGATGATCAGATCCGCACACGCCAACGAAAACAAAAAGTAATTGTTGACAGTCTGAAGGTGGCGGTTCACTTTGATCGACAGCATGACCAAAATGTTTCCTGTCACTGTCACAAAGCTCAGGGACCCCGTCACCAAGGCGATAAAAAACATCTCCAGAGCCTTATAAGGACTTCCTGCACCGGCGCCATCGTTAGCGGAGCAGGACGTCTCGTTGGTGGAGACGTTGCAGGTCGTGTTGGAGAACAGGTCAGCTGATTGGTTCACCGATGACCCTGAAGGAAAAAAAGAGAAATGAATGTTAAGTTGAAGCGCCGGTTTCAATTTGGAGAGGCCGTTTGGAGATTTTCCCTTCATGACATCACAAAGGGCAGTAGCCCCTCCCCCAGGTGGGTGACACTCCCACAGCTAGGTGTTTGTTCTGCCCTCTGAGTCTGACTTCTCACTGTAAACAATAGGACATGGAGCGAGAAAGACCGAGTACACCGAGCCCTTCCAGAGAGGGGGCGTGGTCAGACACAGCTAATTTACATATTTAAAGGTACAGACACAGAAACAGCCTGTTCTGAGCAGGGCTGAAATAGAGGGGTTTATAGACATGATCAAATACAGGATCAGAGTGGATTTAGAACAAGAACTTCACACACATGTTTTGAGGAGCTCTGAGACTTATTTAAACTGAAGAGGAGGAGGAGATGTGACCTTTGAGTCTGTTGCCATAGTTGTCAAGATGCTAATTTGCTCCGGGTGTTGACACTCCTGATCTTTGTTGGTTTATTGTCATGGTAACAAGTTTGCTAATTTTTTCTCCTTGCAACGGTTCCTATAAATGTTATATATTTAAAAAAATATATGTTTCATACCTAAAAAGATGAAACAAAGTCGAGTGCCAGAGTGCATCAGTGAACTTTAACTCCCACCTGTCCAATGATGCCTCTTCGATCTGCATGTTTCAGCCTGTTAGCTGCTTCAGAGTCTGAATAAAGGTCAAACGCTGCCCGACTGACACCAGATTTAAATCTCTTTAACATAGTTTTACGAAAAGTCTCCATGAAACTGAACTTGGAGAGTATCTGACTGCCATGTCGTGACATATTCCTAACAGTAATGGGATAGAACCAATCACAAGATAGAGGGCGGGACATAATGTTCTTCTAAAGACATAGCCGCCCCCCCCAGAGCTGTGTGGGGGGTTTAGTTCCTCTTTAAAACTTCTGCTCCCCCTCTGGAACCACCTGTAGGATCTCAGTCTACAGTATGTTCCCCATGAGGTGCAGACGTGTGTGTGTGTGTGTGTGAGTGTGTGTGTGTGTTTGATTGACAGCAGCTGGCAGGCCGGGCTTCGTGTGGGAACAGGAGACAAAGTAAACAAGCGTGTAGTGTAGTTAGAGAGCGGTGTGCAGACAGCAGCTTGTTAGCAGACGTGTTGAAGAGTTTGGACGACAGCAGAAGAGAAAGCTGCAGGAGAGTTTGTGTGCAGCTTCATGCAAACTGAACAAATGATGGAGTTATTGATACTGATACACCACCATGTCTACCTGAGTTAAATGACTGTAGAAACTATTTACAGAAATCAGACGTGGCAGGGAGATATTTTTTTTTCATTTGGTTTTGCAAAATAAACACACTGATCATAAACAACTGTTTAAATATTGATCCAAACTTTCCTCTAAAAGATCAAATCTGAAAATCCGCTGCCTGAAGTCCGGAACAATTTCCCAGAAAGCTCGACTTGTGCTCTTTTATGACATTTATTCTAAACGCAGTCAGCTCGCCTTTAAAACATGATCTCCTCCTAAATATTATGAAAAATGAAATTGCATCTCCAAAGCGTCTCGATGCGGAGTTAATCAAACACATCAGGATGTGCCTTTATTTCTGGCTCCGCTTCAAAGCTTCATGAATATTCTCAAACTAAAGCATCCCCTCCAACCAATCTGCGGATGCATTCAGGCCGCGCTCTGAATATACGGCTTATTGTTTGTTTGTTTTCTACGACATGCTGAGTCAACACGCTTTCTCCGTTCATGTTCAGACTCATTTAGCAGAGACAGCGGACGCCTCTGATAACGCTGAAGTTAGATTAAAAAAGCAGGAGCGCTGCAGGATGGAGAGCGGGGGGGGGGGGGGGGTTATGGGAGGTTCATTTTTTAAACATTAAAGCACAACTCCAATCATTCTCGACCTTTGCACATTATTTTCTTTACACGTCTTCTCTCCGTACGCTGATGAGCTTTCTGGAAACTGTTCAGGGCTTCATGCAGATTGTTTGATCTTTTTTGAGTTTTTGCTGCATAAGATTCAAAGTGCAACGGGTTGAGTCCATGCATCGTGGTTAACGGTGTTCTGAATAGCGTTGGAGACAGGTAGCTCGCCAGAAGTGTCCAACCATACGTGCCTGGAGTTTCCACAAAGCTCGCTGTTTATTACGGACTACCTTCGACCTTACAGAGCCCGTGTGTACGGCAAAAAGAGAGTAGGAGCTCGGTTACAGACGTAAGACAAGGCGCCGTCCGGTAACGTCGCTCTCCTAGTAACTTAGCAACACAGGAGCCCTCTCCAGGCTGACGTTTCATGCAGCAATATCAAATGTTGAAATCAAGTGAGTTCAGACTGGACATCAGAAACAGAATCTCAAGTCTGCAAACTCCAGACCAGATCCACTCGCAGCACCCAGCTGGAGAAGGTCAAAGGTCACGGGGAGAGTGTCAGAGGAAGACAGATGGGAGATCGGGGGGGGGGGAGTCACACCTGACACCTCGGAAAGTATCTCTCCCTCACACACAAACATGTGAAATCAACATCTACTCATGGCCGAAATATCTGAAAATACTTTTTTAAATATGACTAAAACTCAGAGTGTTGATAACAGCCGCTGTGCAAAGTAAACGAGCTGCAGTTTACATGGCAGAACGTGCACAATACTGTCAGTGTGATTGATTAATTAGACAAGAAGAGGACCAAGCTGCTAATAAACACAACTCAGTTACAGCTTAAACGTTATTTCTGAATTTCTGACTTCCAAGATCGAATGGAACGCACCATCATTCACACTGCAGCACAGTAGGTGTTGTTACTGCACTGTAACGCTGGTCGCCATGGCGATTAAAATACAAAAGAAGTAGAAGAAGACTAAAAGTTAGTTTTTATGCTGCCAAACACAATTAAGACAAACGTGGGGACAAAAAGAGATACAGTGTGCAGTGAAGTTAAGGCACATTAAAGCATGAAGTCAACAAAAGTGAAACTCAATTAAAAATCTAATCGACGTCTTTCAGAAGACTTCTGTTGCTGTTGAAACACTGAGATGCTTTGTTCCCTCTCAGGGCCAAATGACACCACTTAGACTTTAATTAACTTGGTGAATTGAACAATTTCAAAACTCTGTGTCGTGATTCGTCACTGAACAGGTGGAGATGCAGGTAGACGAGGTCGAAAACAACAGATTTAAGATGATTCATGTGAACGTTTTTTGAGCTGCAAACATTCTGTTAAAGGATGAAACTTGAAGAACAGGAAGGTAAAGCTCCTGAATTAAGATTAAGGAGGTATTGTGGTCTTAAATTAAAGACACCAACCTTGAATGTCAGTAGGAAATAGATAATCAGGAGAGATATCACCCGTAAGCTCCAGAGTTCACCTCAACTTCCTCCTTAACTGGATTTATGAAAGTAGGTCATCGTGTTACTTCCTCGTCTTTTTATTGAACCTTTTCATAACAAAATAAAACAGAAAACACATCCTCAAAAATAATGTTTGTCAAATCTTAACATCAAATCTCCTTAAAGGTCCAGTCAGTGAGATGTAGTACACATTTTAAACACTAGGTGTCAGTTACATATTGCTCCTTTCAGACCTGACAATGTGACTAACAGATTTCCAGCATGCTACTTCTTATATTATCTTTAATTTATGCTTACATGCTACACAGAATACATACACGCTCTAAATACTGCAACACTCTAGTTGCACGCACATGCATTTTATTTCAAGTAGACGCTGACGAGTACACGGTCTTAAAAACATGATGCAAACACACACACATCGCTCCTGCATTAATTAAGAACTGCTGAAGCATCAAGAGAGCGAGAGGAGTGACTGTGTGTTTAAACATGTATGTAATGAGCATGGTCTGAATCATGTATGTGGATCCTGCCTCTGCTCTGTGATTGTTGTGTAGCAGGCTCATTTTAGCACACTTTAGTTAGCTCGTAGCTTCACATTGTCTGGGCTGTCCCCCCCTCCTCTTTAGACACTGAGGTGAACACTGAAGCTTCAGTGTTTATCCAGCTCTGCATGGGTCTGTAAACCTTTCTGTGTTCTAACCTCTCTCCATTTTTCAAAAGCATCTCCAATATTGATCCTAGTTTGAGCACGTTTCTGCTCGTGGAGCTTATTAGAAACATGCAGAGGCTTTTTAGGTCGGGTACAATCACTTCTATCTGAACCACTTCTCTTGCCCGCTTCCATCGCTGCAACACCTGTTGACCTGATAACTGCTCTCATATCTGGCAAACTGAGGGGTGTCCAAAACGGCCGTGTGTGGAGGAAGCCAGCACTTCAACACAGCATGCTTTATGATGATGTTGTTCAGATTTGAGGGATGTTAAATATTTAAAAGTACTTCAATAAATGAGCTGAATTACTCCATGTAGTGAGTGGTAAACCGTTTCTTGAGTTCAAAGTTGAAAGATTAATTTGAACAAGCTCTAATAAGGTATAAAATATTCTCTTTCTATGCTTCCTGATCATCTGTGACATGTTGAACATTTTCGAACAATTTTCTGGGTCTTATAAAATAAAAGCGATTTTAAAAGAAGATTCTTTCTGGAGGACACACCCCGAAGAATCAGCTTTGATCTTTCTATGAAATATACAACAGAGGCAGATGAGACACACATTACAGCTGATTGCATCACCATCAGCTCCGATTCACACAAACACACTGCTGCAACATTTATACGACTCTCGCACGCCCAACGTACGCTCACATCATCAACACACACACGCTGCTGAAATATTCATCTCCAACACACTTTAGATGTAATCATACAGACGCACTCTCATCTTTCTGATATACATAAAGAATCTGAATCTACTCTGAATAATGCAGCATGAAGCGCTCGCAAAGTGAAGGTGTCAAAGAAGAAACTAAAGAACAGAGTGATGCATTCAAAGCATCCTGTAAAACACAGCGTCAGGTTTAATAAGTATTTTTTTTAAATCCATAAAAATAAAAGCAATTTGATTTATTTTGAGAGTTTGGAGGAATTTG